TCATTGTCCCTCCCAAAGGCTCCGGTAACACTTAATGGATTCTTGACACGCTCCAGCTATCCGTGACACTGGACAGGATCCATTGTTTTCTATATTTGCGAAAAGGTAACATTGTTCACTTGCTACGAACGGGCCAGAGGTGAAATTATATACGCTGTAATTATGTTGTCAATCGATCACCTTTAAGGTGTCTATAAATTACGAACAGCCACATTCAAGTGTAAATTACTACGTATCTGGTTTGTGATATATGACAGTAGCCAGGCTTGCTTGGCTTTATTACGACTTTTTGATCTTTGCACGGGTCATGTTAATATGTACGGTTAAATTTTACCTCTTTTACATAACATCACGCTTTTTATGCCCGAAGGGGAATGCAGAAGTGCTGATTACCGCACTTAATGTCACTGCACAATGTAACACCCACTGTTCACTATTTATGTTATCAGTTCTATGTAATAGGGGGTGAGATGAAAACCCAATAATACTTTGCTCGACCCGGGAATCGAACCCTTACCTAGCAGTCACACTTGTGACCACTTCGCGAACGAGGCAGTCAGTTTTAATAAGGTATTTAAGGACTTACCTATTTCTTATTTTCTGAATTTCCGTCTATACTCTTTTCAGAGTTTCCTTTCATGTTTCTAATGCTATACCCATCCAAAGCGATGATGCGATTGTTAGAACATCTTTCTAAAAGCACTTTGTTCCGGTTGAATACGTGTGACGTCAGCATTTTCAAACGGTTTTAGAGTTCAGTACAGGAAATTAAACGCGAAGTTTGTGTACATTGCGGACATAACTATGTTGGTTGGTCTACACACCGAGTCGGTGAACTCGGTGCAAGGATATAAGCTGTGTGGTGTGCGGTCCTGGCTGGAGTCTGCATGCAGGAAGTCCGGTTGGATACTGCAACTGCGCTGCGTGGTAGGTAGTTTAGTGGGGCAGTAGTTACGGTGCTTCATTTATATACGATGAAAGTTATGACTAGCCTAGTAGCTACAGAGCTTCGATATGTGAGGACTGAGCAAGTGCATGTAGTTTACATATCAGCTCTGATGTGTATGATATTTATTTTGTGAGCTAAACGGCCATTTCAGTGTTAAAAGTGTGAAATCACCCAACTTGCGGATACATAACATCGTCTTCACAATAGAGGTCTTCATAATAGAGGAAGAGAGTAGAAATGTTGTATAAGACTCCTGTCTTATATGTATAACCAGTCTCCTAAAAGGAAATAAATTAAATCGATACAGACCTATGTCAACTATCCGTTCTCAAATCTTAAATACGATACATACCTAATGATTTTGAAAGTGCTAATATTCACTTTAAACGTTGCGAAACTTCCTTTTTAGTTCGTTTTAAAATTCTAAAAACCATTTACTTATTCAGGAATTCAGTCTAGCGAATTGTAGAAACAATATCGCCGGGAACAAAGGGAGACATAATAAATATTAATACTCTTATTTCATGGCAATGTATTCAACAGGAATTTATTTCTGACTTAACCTTTAACGTGAGCTCCAGTGTAATGTCACACTTCAAAAATACTTGGGAACTCTCACAATCAATTTTAGCATTTATAAGGTAAAGTAAAAGAAGATTCTTGGACCTTGAAAATAAGAGCGGTTTTAGCTTAATGTCACGATTAGCAATATATTTTCTTTTAATCATCATTTTTTTCTTGGCTTTTTCGTGTTGGTCTGTACCTCCAGAGCACAGTCTCAGGACTGTGCTCTACCTCAGGACTCAGGTCCACAACAGCCAAACTCACAACAAAACGATACGCTGACGCTGACGTTTGTATTTTTCTTTTCTATGATTAGTTCTTTGTTATACTTGATTTTTAATACCTACTAATAAGCTTATGAAAATATAATACAATACTCGTAAAGAAACTATCAATAAGAAGTGAAAATCTTATGGCAGCGAAGCTAATGTTTTTCAGAAACAGCTTAAAGCTGTCACACGGAAGCGCTGAGTCGCAGTCTCATGCTATCTTTGTCCTTTGAAAGAAAATGTAGCTTGAAATTTCTAATTTCCAAACATCATGGCGTGAAATCATGACTACCAGCTTCTATTCTACCTTGTGTTTAATTAATAATAAAATAAATAAGTAGTCTCAAACCTCGTGAAATCTCCTTTAAATGGCAGCATATACTGTAGGTGGATTTTATTTATGTTGGGACGTGTCGAAGTGGATAGTGCAGTATTTTAGAGTTTGGTATTCGGACGGGATAAGAGGCGCGGCGCAGGTTTCCGCCAAGGTCGATAACGTTGCTTCCTGAATTCTAGAACTACATACTTACTAACTTTGTACTCCACAGATAACGTATGTTCCACAGACTGCATATTGTTAATGCATCGATATTTCGTGTTGCCAAGTAATTTGTGTTGTTTCGTTTGTATGTTCAACTTCAGTATTCCAATTATAACTTCGAAAACAACGTTAATAGTGGACTTGGTACTTATTTACATTTAAGTTATTCCTAGTATAATTTTAGCATCCTTACATTAAATGTGTTCAAAGTTCATTCGTAAATGGGAAGATAATTTATTCTGACGTATTTACGAACATGCTTATTATGGAAATAATAGAAAACATTAGGTGTTTTTTAAACGGCTTTGCTAATACGTAGAGTAATTAATCCTATTTGTCGAAATAAGTTTCATTTTTATGTCAATTATTTATGTAGGATAGGATCAATAAAAGTATCGTGATTCGTACCGTCAATTGACTGTCTGGGTCACGCTGCGCGCCTAGCAATCGACACATAAATCCAAATTAATTAGTTTTGACTAATGCCTACTTTTCGAGGACACACGAGACAATGTCAAGACCAAATACCTAAGTTTTCTAAAAGTGAATTAAAATTCTATTGTTTCGTTCACAAGCAGGATAAATCATACAGCAACATAAGTAAAGCAGGAAATAGGTAGATGTGACACCGGGCGAACCTTTCCAGATCGTTCCGAGAGGTCGTTGAGGAATAATGCATTAGGAAGATTTATACAATCATTAGCATTCGTGCAGGTACGCCGTCAATGTCATACGATAATCTGTGATGCTTCTTACATCGACAACAAGCGCCCGAGAGCGGAGAGCTCGAGAGATGTGCATCGAATACCGCCCGTTCAAGGTAGAGGTTGAACTCCGACCTTCTCATAACTGCAGTAACTACAACCATTTAGAAAATAGTTCAGGATTTCTTTTGCAAAAGAGGTTTGAGTAAAGAAAATGAGGAATTTCTTGAATATTTTAAGCTATCGATTGTTAATTATAATGACGGTAATCAGCATTCAAAGCCAGTATCTTTAGTTGCGGACGGATATAGCGATCGTTCCGCACTGATACTATACCCTCGAGGTTCGTATTTATGGACCAATTTGCCACTGTCAATGTTTGCATTCCATTAACTCAAGGAAAAGTGTTTGTGGACAAGCAGTTTTATTTGCTTAGCCTGTCCTAAGACAATAACAACATTCTTTTCATAATTTTGTTAGCGAAATTATGCTGGGGATTGAGACTGGCTTTGTTTCATTGGACTGTGGACTAACAGTAATAAAGTATTAACTGGGAAAAGGGTTAAGTTGAAGAAGAACGTATTGTTAAATAGGAATGAACGCAGATGGAAGAACTTCTAGTGTTTTCTGTAGGTTTGTTTATCTCTTTACAAAAGAACCCTGTTTTACTTTTTAATCACGTGCACCATTAAATTAAAACATAAATTAGACAGAACCATAAAGAAAAATAAGTAATGCTCTATTGTATATAAAAATATATCGACAAGTAGGACGAGCATATGCATAAAGATTGTAAATTTTTCGCGCCAGGGATCAAGATGGAATATTATCGACGTCGCGTCGTGTGCTAACAAATTCGATTTTATCAGAGTCGACGTTACTTTCATCTCGTCTTAAGTAACGTTTAATATTTGACAAATGAGCTAGAGGTTGCATGTGTTCATAATGTAAAATTACGGATTTACAATATTGAAGCAACAGCTGTTCGTGATTTAGACTGAACGTAAAATATTCTCTCGTTATAAAATATTTAAGTACGATACGGCAATCTTGACGTGGATTGGACTTACATAACATCACGCCTTTTATCCCCAAAGGGGTAGGCAGAAGTGCACATTATGCCACTGTACAATGTGAAACCGACTTTTCACTATTTATGTTGTGGTCCCCATGTAATAGGGAGATATTGCTGTAATAGGGGATTGTCTACAAGATTGGACTTGTCTACAAGATATTTTAAATGTCGTTTTTTTAATCAGGTTTGGCAGGAAAATTGTGAAAGTGAAAATGTAGATCGCAGACAATAGTAGTTTATAGTAGTGTGGATACGCGCTCTGGCGCTTGCGCCAGAACCACGCGAATCAGTTGCACCCATCGTAAAAAAAAGTTTTGCCATGCTCTGATTACGTTTCTGCAGTCCGCCTTAACGTAGGATGCGTGGTTCTGGAGTTATGCAAATCAATTAACTGTTATCTCATTGATTTCCGGTGGTCCTGCACCCTCATTAACGTTCCATTGTTCGCCTAATCCTTTTATCTATTGTACTTCGAACACCCTCATTATGTCTGATTTTCTATGTCATCAATAAAACACAATCATTTATTTTTATTTCGAAATTGTATTACTTTTTTCTACAAAATATGAGTGGAACATCCCCTCCACAAAAATATCATTGTAGGTACAGTGTGAAAAAAATTAATTGCTAAAATTATATAAAACATGTAATTTGTGAAAAACAGAATGATCTGTATACTATTTCTAACACAATTTGTACTTATCAGAATTTCCCAATCACCGCAACGTCAAATTTAAGCACACAAATAAAAACTACAATTATTTTACATTATTTACAATCAAACAATACATTTTAAATATGTAATAAACTATAATATAACATTATAGTAGGTAATTTTATAATCAAAACAAATTTTGTATATACCTACACACAGAAATAAAGGTAAAAAGTATTACACTTAGCGTAACTTATAATGTCCCCAAGCCAATGTATCAATGTTGTTGTCCATAATACATCGTTTGGTGTCATTATATGACAAAGATGTTTTATTTATTTTTTGTGTAAAAATAGTGTGTTTGATTGACTTAAATCGAAGCATACTACAATATAATACATTTTTATTAAACAAACACGATTTGTAATTTTCCATATTCATTTTTTTGGTAACACTTTTGTTAACTCCTTTTGTCTTTGCTATAAATTTATCTTCTATTTCTAAGGCATACATTTTTGATCGCAACCCTACAAATTCCTTCAATACTTTACCATTATTCTCATCTTTAAAAAAACCTAACTTTTTTTTATTTATTTTTGGATATCCGTAAATATTATTTTCCGGGTAATCTGATGTATCGAAATAGTGAAGTAGATCTGGTTTTATATCCTCATAAAAATTGTCTGTAAAAATTTGATATATCAAACTATCGGTATCAGTGTACAATAACTTAATTTTATTATGAAACTTTTTAATCATGTAGTTATAATGAAATTCATACATAAGGGTCTTAGATATATCTAAAATACAAAATCCTAAATAAATCGGTTTGTCATAAATTAATTTTGTTTTCCGTAATTGTATTGCGACTAAATGTTCTGAAAATATTGATAAACTATGGAATTCTGGTTTTGCAATCCAATCCTGAGCACCTAAAACTTTACCACGATTATCCCAGTGAGTTAGTAGTTTAACGTTTACTCTTTTTTCAATATTTTCCATAGTCTTACCGAAGACAGAATTATTCATTAATTTAAAAAAGTCTTTTTCAAAGTTTGATGTAGCTAACGTTCTCAAACTAGTATTTAAGTCTATGTATTTCTTTAACCAAGAACTCTGTTTAAATTTTAAAATTCTATGTACTTTTATTAATTTAATCCCCATTTCAACGCATTGTTTTAAATTCCTGTAATGAATGATGTATTTATTTTTATTATTTAAATTAGGAACTAATTTAGATTCTTTAGTATTACCCACACATATGTTTTCAGGACATAACGGAAAGTCAGAATGCAAATCATGAAGTTCATCAGGATATTCCAAATCAACTTCTAAAACATAACCGAAATCAGAGTTATCCGACACATTATAATCTGTATTAGAATCTACCCATTCGAAACCACCAACAGGAAGAGATTGAGACATTGCCCAACCATATAAATTATTCGCATCAAAATATGTGAGATATGAATTAGGTTTTTCACTATCATAATCTTCCATGAATTTATTATTTGCTCTAGCATAACGATTGCTACACTGAGACACACCCCCTCTAATACCAGCTTTAAAAAAAGCAATTTTGTCATAGTCCGTTAACAATTCTAATTCTATTTTGGTAAATTTTAACATTGCATCCCAACTCAAACCTGGGGCAGTATAGTAATGGGCAGGATCTAATCCATAAGTTTTAATACAAAGCTTTCTAAAGTTTTCGAATACATCAGTCAAAAGTAAAACATCAGTTTTTAAATATAAATTGGAATAATCAGACATACTACTACACTTAAAATGTTGCCAAATATCTTTTGCGTAATTATAATCATCATTTGAAATATTTGAATCTGTGAGTGAACTATAAAATTGGTGTTGATCAGGAAGTGATGGATGTTTCAAGCAATCACTATTACACATAAATTCATAAGGATAAATACCTTTCCGTCTTAAACGTGAAAAATCTTCATTATTAGGATAGTTCCTTTTTAGTTCTGTAAACTGATCATCATTAAGATTTTTAGCTAGTTGATCTAAACTACACGATAAAAATTTCAATGAATCTACAAATCTTAAACTTACTGGTTGATTATTTATTGTTAACTGTTTTGAAAATGATATGTATCGTTCTTTATTTTGTGGAATAACTTCAAATTTGTCATCATCGAGGTTTAATGCATTGACAATGAAATGAGCATGGTAGTGACTGAAGTTATGTAAAAATATTGGGATATGACGAGGGGTTCTGTACTTAGAACTACACACTTGATGTGCAACACCCCTAAAACTGCCAGTGTGCCAATCAAAATCGTAAAAAAGATCTTCATTTAACTCAGTTTCACAAATATGACATATGTTTGAATTTGAAATTTTAATTTTATCTTCATCTGATAATGGAACGTGACATTTTTGGAAACTATTTTTTTTAACTATTGTTTTCACATCTTCACAAAGGCGATTCATAAACACTTGTGCACAGTTTGACCCACTATACGTCTCATATTTTGATAATCTGTTATCATATGAACATTTAATGTAATATCCAAAACTATACACTTCATGTTTCTGAATATTAATTGTACTAGGCTTGGATGGATCGTTACTACATGATTCTATCGGATTCAAAAATGCCTTAAAGTCTGCATAAATCATAAAGGGCATTTCCAACTTTTTCGCGAATTTATCAAATTTTAATTTATTATTTGAGGTTGCATTACCAAACCAATCCTTTTTGGAATCCTCACCGTTTGGTAATTCCGTACAAATGTGAGCGCAATCATATTGTTGATGGTTATTAAGTCTTTCCTTTGATGGGAAATGAAGTAAACATGAATCACATATATAAACTGCATGATGTTGTCTTGATATTTGTGAACTAACTAATCGCGATAAGTTTTTAATATAACAGTAATGATTGTTAGTACCATTCGATATATATAGTAGGTTAATATGATTAGGTGTACGACATTTTGTTAAATATAAAGGACCTACAACAGAATTACACCTTTTTTCTTTATTATACTCTAAGCCAAAAACATTAATACTAATATTGTTTAATTTCTCTACTTTTGATATATCTGCAATTTTAACCGGAAAAGAAATACCAGTAAATTTTAGTTTATTTCCATGAATTGCGTAAGATGCTACCCGATCTACATTTTTACATACAGGATATAAACCGGAGAGTAATGCCCATTTGAAACACATATTATCATTATTTTTAACATTGATTACAGCTTTTTTTGATTTAATATCTTGAGGAAGGTTGATATATGAACTACCACGTAGGGGGTTGAATTTATTAACATTCATATCTATGTATTTAATTTGATTAAGACTCCAACCACTATCTTTTTTTTCAAATTGACAAATTTTACCGACTACAGTGTCTATTAATGATGAATAAAAAATATTTAAGTCATCTCCCTGACAAATTATGTAATTAAACGTTGGAAAATCAAATGTATTTTTAAAATCTTTAGTTTGTTGTATGAAATCAGCATGCAAAATGAAGTTTATTTTAAAAATTGTATGTTGTTGAATACATTCATTTATCAAAAACAAGATATCGATTTTTAATGAATTTAAAAACGATTCCGGTTCTTCAAAATATTGTCCCGATTGATGTGTTTTACTATTAATTCTATATGTTAAAATTCGATTGCCAAAAGCGGTTTCAACAACTTTAACATTTGTTAATGAATTATATGATTTAAAAAAAATATTTTTATGTGCATTGCTTTTTAAATGGTTGTTTAGATACCTTTTATTAATATAAACATGACATGTATCATATTTCACCTTATTGTTGTCCACGTCATTGGTTTCAATTGATGATGTAGAAGCTCCTTCATCAAATTTTGCTTTCTTGGTAACCTTATTTTCATCAGTAGTGATACCTCGTTTGATACCTCTTCCAACTTGCTGTTGACTGTAACAAAAAAGAAAATTATTACACAAATCTTAAAATAAAACATTACTACAATAATATTTTTATTGAGTTTGTACTTCTAATACTTACATCAAAGTTGTTTCAACCATCAAACATTGAGTATACAACTCATCATCATACGATGAATCGAACAGTTCCCGCTTCTCTATTTCATCACAAACTTTACACAGCTCCTGATTGAATTCACTGTTGGATTGTTCTATATTCTCTTCAACCGGTGCGGAAAAGAAAGCACTGGTGCATATTTCATTGAAGTTCTCCATCTTTATAATAAAGAAGAAAGTATGTAGCACAGTAACAGTTAAGTGTTGGTAGGGCAACTTCAAATAATGTCTAATATTTATAGTTTATCAAAGGATTAGGAAAGTCATGTAAAATCTAATGATAGTAATACTGTTTAAAGGGATTTTCAGTGTCGTCAACGAAGCTGAATGATCTCTGCAACAACAGAGTTATCACATTAATATAAATCTGTTTACACTTAATCTGACACACACACATGTTAGGAAACAACAACAGAAATACAAGTAAGTTTGTCAATAGAATAAACACTTACCTCCATGACCATTGATGCGTTGAAGTAGGTAACACAAACGTAGTATTGGTAGACAGACGTATACAATCCACTGTGGTCAAACGACCATAGACTGACTGCGTGGCTGCAACTGTTCGATCCTATATAGCACCATTCTTATCTTATCTATAAGTACAAAAAATTCTATGAGTCAACAAACTTATCTCACGTCGCAACAGGCATGAACCTGTTTTGTGACTCCCACAAAGAATGCGATTTAACTCGTCGAGTACCGTATTTATAGACACCGTATTTATAGAACAATAGGTTGCGGTCACCGGTGACCGCTTGGTGTTTGACAGTTTAATATTTACAAATCACTATAATTGAACATTCCTATGACAACCATTGAATAGATTGCTACTGTAATAAACTGCTAATAACAGTAATTAAATATCATGAATACACTAGGACTTCAGTTTGTGGTGAATATTGCTTAATGTATTTGCTATTTAAGTTTCAGGGATGTTCAATGCATAGTTTTACGAACATATTTACAGGGAACACACTGTACAATGATATTTTTGTGGATGAGATGTTCCACTAATATTTTGTAGAAAAAAATTTCAAAATAAAAATGAATGGTTGTGTTTTATTGATGACATAGGAAATCAAACATAATGAGGGTTAACAATGAGTAATAGATAAGAATGCCAAGCGGGTGTTCGAAGTATAGATAAGAAAGAAGGACTAGGCGAACAATGGAGCGTTGATGAGGGTGCAGGACCACCGGAAATTTGCAACCACGCATCCTACGCTACGCTTTTTTCCTGTTTTGTGACTCCCACAAAGAATGCGATTTAATATTTACAAATCACTATAATTGAACATTCCTACGACCACCATTGAATAGATTGGTACTGTAATAATTTGCTAATAACAGTAACTAATATCATGGATATACTAGAATTACAAAAACATATGAAAAAGATTTATCCCAGTCTAGAAAATAATGTTTATGCTGCTAATAGACTACCTATGTATACACATGTACCAACGTATATAATATGCAATTTGGATGCGGATGATAAACCAGGGTCACACTGGGTAGCTGTACCTACCTACATTTGTCGCGGAGAACCTAACGGGTTACCAGGGCTCCGGCTCGACGTGCAGGAGAAGGAAAGGGGTGGTTTTTAGTCAGTAAGAGTCTGACACTCCCTCCCGCCTCACCCAGGCGGGAGCAGTCATTCGATGATTTTCCCCCCTTAAAAAAAAGAATACCTAAATTTTATTATTATTAATCTTGCAATCCTTCTTGCTCTCGGCTCTAAGGCCGGTTTTAATGCCCCTTACGGGCTTCCGCCAAGTAAAGGACATATAAAGAATATTACACGGTAGCTGTTGGTGAACTGTGAATGTGACTACCAATCGGTTCTATAGTTTGGGTTGGTGGTGGTGGTGGTGGTGAGATTTCATTTTCATCTATCTGCATCCTTTGTTCCGTAACATTTATTTCTGGGTATTATTGCATGAATTTTTGTGTGCATGATAAATGTATTTACTTCAGGTGACCATCTCATGAGCACTCTGGGTCCAGCCTTCGTGGACGCAGGTAAAAAGGTCTCTTGGACCACCTGCGCAACAGCAAAGGTGGGGTTTTCGGCTTCCCTAGACTCTTCGTCCGTTGGAAGAGGTGAAAGTGAAGGTGCATAATATGATGTTGTGCTTGGACTAAATGGTTCTATGATAGATGAAGATGCTGATGAAGGATGTAGTGCTGTAGCATTTTCGGGTAACCCGGTGGGAGCCCGCCTACTCAACTCCGCACCGCCGACGGTTCGTCTACTGCCACACCCGTCAGCTCCAAGTCAGCTCCAAGTGTGCCCCGGCGATCGCCCCCGGGCAGCGGCCCTATACGTTTTTGATCTAGTCTCCATTTTTGATGGGATTCCATTGCCATGTTAGCCGCGCCAGTAAATTTTTAATCGCGTGTCCGCCCCCCACGTGAATCTGATGGTCGATTCGGACATATGGTTGGATTTGGGGGGCTTATTATTAATATTGTTAATTTACGTAGGAATGTAGGTATTTAATTGACTGAATTGATAAGAAATTAAATTAACACTTAATAGCCATTTTTTGTTTTTCCATTCACAACCGTGCGCCCCTAATCTTTGAAATGAATCATTTTCTATACATACATATATCGAATTACCGGCATTGATAATATTTATTAAAGATAATAATTGAATATTAAAGTAACACGTCATTTTTCATTTGATAATGACAAAATACTTATATTACCTATTTATGCCGTAATGAGGGTGTTCGAAGTATGTAGTGCAATAAAAAACAATAATTGGGTACTTGCCTTAATCATAAATAAATTATTTCGACTGTTCAATACAATAAAACATTAAAAAATAAACACACTTCATTAATTGATTTTATGACCAACTTACTTTTAGGATTTTTCCAGTACATTTTTAAGCAATAAGTATGCTGTTTGACGATAAAAAACGTGACGACACAATACATAGACATTCTCGTACAAAATTCATAGAAAACTGTCGTTTTGATAGTACGAAAAAAGTATTGAATTTGACTAGTTGGCAAGTACACAATTAAAGTACGTATATGTACTCTATCGCGAACATAATGAGTAACTTTCTATTCCATTTGAAGGCAACAATCATTCTCCACAGTTCTTATTTTGTAAAAAAAAAACCGTTGTGTATAAAATTCAAAATTGAATCTTATTATGGCGACATGAAGAGATTTTGAATTTACAAATCTAATAAATGTTTTAAAGTACCTTGCTTGGGCTGCATCCGCTCATGAATAATTCTTTTAACAAAAATAAAAGTTTTGCCTTGTAGTAAACAAGACCGACTGCATAATATAATTCAAGGAACTGACGACTGCCTGTATAATGAGCTAGAAAAACATTGCCATATTTATTTTGAAATGAAAATGTACAACTGCAATGAATGAAAAGTGGTACTGACTGTGTAGTTTTCAGTAAATGGAAAGTTGCTTTGTACATATAAGGATTTTCTCGTGTAAACGTGAACGTGGATGTAATTATACATACGTATTTTCGCATTTACAGGGTCTTCAGTCCTACAACAATGCTAAATGACACAAAGATTTTTCATTGGCGTACCTATCGATTATTTGCCCAGTTCATATATAATGAATACACTGACTCATATATTACCTGCTGTCATCCCTTGGGAAAAAAACAATCAAGTTCTAATTATTTTGTTGCCATAAGCTAGCAAACTCGTTAATGCGAGCTTTTGTTGATGCAGTCGCTGTAGACTGTGCAAGTTAGTAAAAGCAAAAACTGTAACGGGTCGTCGAGCGATTCGTTATGTGAATAACTGAGTACGGTGTCTCAGTAAATTGCTGGCATATATCCGTAGTATCCGTGCGGCAATGGCGCCTGGTACTCCGGTCCTACGGCATCGGCATAACGTAGGTGTTGATGAAACTAATCAACATGTGATGTCGCATGCTTAATGGCTTTAGCTTTGACACCGGAGCCATTAATTTTATCTATGTTTACAAACAAAGTTGTTTTTCTGAAATTAAGTTTGTATTAAGGTTGTAAAAGGTAAAGATAGCATTCAGCCTATTCTTCACATACGATGACTACCACAGATTAAATAAAAAATCTGTTGATGAAATTAGAGAAACCAGTCACTTCAAAATTGGGTTGACAATCAATTATTTGTGCAGACTGAAATGAAATGTAGATAAATTATGCCAAAAGTTGTGAGAGACTAAATTTCCGAATTTTAAAATTGTCTGTAAGTTTTAAATAATAACTCTTTATCTTTATAGCCTAAAGCCTTACAATAATTTTGATTGTGTTTTCTTCACCATGGAATTTGAGACTTAGCAACTAGGTACAGGAAAGTCAGATAAGGTAACCCTAATGAATTGCTTGATACCTTGCAATATTCGTATGATTGGTTTTCAAGTAAGGGAGGGCATCGGCCGCATTGACGTCGATGCCGGCTATTTGCGTTCCTGCTTCAATGGTAGCTGTCAAATAGAAGATTAGCAGACATATGCACGCACTTGTACCTGATTTAATGCATACTGTGCACTACACAACATTTCAACTCACTGTAACAATAATATTGTTTGCATTCATTGACCCGCTTATGTAAATTGAAAGTAATTGTGGCGAAATGAGGGAAGTTCCATTAAAATATACGACAAAAATGGACATAATTGTTGACGAAACTGTGCGGCCTGTGGCCTGTGTGGGAGTTCATGTTTTAATGTGATTATAATGTATGCCTTTTCCTTGATTTGGCCTTGTATGGGTTGAACAAATATTGGAAAAATACATAAAAGATTTTTCATTCTTTACTTATTTTTGTACTTATAGGTACTTACATAATGAATGCAAAATTGATTCATTGGTATTTATCTACTTATGTTTTTACAATAATCTTATGCACCAACTATGACGTAAGTAATCGCTACGGCTATGTGCATGTATCTAAGCGAGAAAAAATCTGAAGATTATTTTATTGACTGTTTTTAACAGTGTATATGAATACCTACCTACTATAAGATAGAAAAATATTCCTATATATAGAGAAAAGTACGAAAATGTTGAAATAGCAATTCTACAAAATCCTATTATTACCTAGGTCACCAAAAATAATGAATTTCACTGAACAATACCATATTATCATAGTAAATACCTAGATTATAAAAAATATTACTATAAAGAAAGTTGGTTATGGTCTAGACTAGACAGGATGTCTGGTTCACGACCTACTTTTAGGAATAAACTCTCACGATCGCCATTAGTCTTATAGGAAGACACAGATATTTAATACAAGCCACTCGCGCGCGGTTTCGCTCACTGCTCGGTTCCTATTGACCGCAGCGTGATGTTTTATAACTTTCCTCAATAAATGGACTATCCATTACCCAATACAGAAGGAATTTCTTAAATCGAACCAGTAGTTCCACAAATTAGGACGTTAAAACATACAAACTCTTCTGGTTTATACAATTACCTAAACCTAAAAAAGTAAAATCTAGATAATTTATTAACAATTAAAGTATTGGTTTACACAATCGAACTGTTTATGTAGGTATAGGTACAATATACTGTTAACGTCAATCTTATTTTTTTAGATTTTTTTAACCTTTGCTTACCTAACCTGGAAACCGCAAGTTCTGTTTTATTGCATCCAGATGGTATATTTTTAATCTGTAGTGTGAATAATACATTCCTAACGTTTACCTACCTACCTGTTCTGTCATAGACAATATTTTATAGTTCGAATAGAGTTCTTATGCGTAGTGTAAATTAGGTAGGTACTATTTGTATGAATGCGCTAATCTCGGGAACAAATCGTATATATGAATAATTCTTATTATTGTGTTTGATAGTGCATTTATCGAGGAAGGTTATACAATATAGGCTATAAAACATCACGCTGTGATCAACAACAGGTAAGCAGCGCGGGTGAAATTACCTAATAAAATAGTTTTAATTTTTGAGCTCTATTAACTTTGTAAGAAAGAACATACCTATTGTAATACATTTAGGGCCTTTGCAATCAGCTTTAGAATAACTTAAAATATAATTAAAATAAAATCAATTCATTGTTTATTTTCATTCATTCACTTCAATATTACACTACCATTCAAAGAAGGCGTGCACCCCTGCCCCGCGCACTCCGCTCCGCGCCCCTCTTAGCCCGCGTCATGAATATCCGACCAAACGAACGGCGCGCGCCCGGCTCGCCAGTCATCGAGCGGCGGTCTTGGGAGATGCTATTGGAGAGAAACAAAAAAATACTAACGCTACCGTTCATCTGACATGCGCGTACTTATTTCTAAATACTGACTAAAAACAAACGAACCAATTGGATTTCAGTGATCGAACAAAGTGACAGTGCAGTGTTGACATTAGATCGGCTGCAAATTCGCTTATTCCGCGTATGATTTAACCGTTTGGTGCAGTGTTTATGTTGGGTACGCGCCGCCCGTTTCGTCCGGCGTGCTGGAGGGACGTCGCCCTCGAGGATTCCTATTAGAGGTAAGGCGCTAAGATGTTGATTATTTTAACTTTTGTTTGTACGCGGTAAACAACAATGGACAGCGCGCGTCTTAGAACGGTGCACGGTGATTTATAGTCCACTGAAAGCCGGTTCCTACCCCAGACACGTTACGAGGATGACTTCAAATAAATCCGGTTACTTTGCATTAAAGTTAACTTCAATGTTGATACTAACCTCTGTAACTTTGTAACTCTCGGTAACATTCTAAAGTTATGTTTAATTTATTGAATTAGTTTAAAAATGACTTCAGAGGCAAGTTACTCACGAACTTATATACCTATAACAAATCGTCATTCTCAAACACTAAAAGGATAACGTATTTAATCTAGTTATGAATTAATATTTGAGACCTAAAAATCGTCGTATTTCTTAAACTGGGGGCACGGTAGTGACCCCCGCAAAGTCTATCGTAATTTTACTTGGTCACTAAATTTACAGAACATTCAACTGACTATTTGGATTTTTGACTATTTATGTTAAAGTATAGTTACAAGTTTTCGTGGAATGTGTAGTAGTCTCATTGTCATTAGTTAGATGTCAGAATATTTCTTGGTATTCGTCTAAAAAATACTTAATTCAAATGTCAAAAATGTGGGTGGATCGAGTTTTGGAAGTGTTAGATAAAATTAGTTTACCTACCTGCAGATAAAGATAATAATACTTACATATAAAGTGTAGGTAATTTGCATAAAATGATCTTTATGATCAAAAATTCGTGTACCGAAACAAGCATGTGTTGCTTTAACAAGTTGAGGGTTGAGGTGAGGTAGGTAATACATCAAAAAGCTATAAAAACCTGTCCTTCCGTATCGGTGGAGATAACAAGAATATTTGTAAGTGTTATTGGCGTATCTTACGTATGCTGCAACTGGCTTCGGACGGGTGGTAGGCGGGCACCGAGAGCGTAACCCAGTTTCACGGGTCACGCTGCTGAGCGCTCAGCTCACCCGGCGAAATGCTCATTCGCTCGACAACTTACTGATACAAGCCTATTATCACGCCTTGACAATAAAACAACGGTCGTGTGCGTCAATTTATTAACCAAAAAATCATGGAATATTATAATAATTTGCATTAAATTAAGTTGCATACCTACGTATTTTAAGACGTTTGAATATTAATGAACAGTTTTTTTAATGACATTTTATTATTTGACTTGCAAAGGTTTCCAAAACAATGAGTGCAAAAAATTGTGCATAATGTTACATGGCTAAGTTCATATTCAATGTAATCCTGAAGTTCTAGTTCGTGTATAATTATTTTGCTGACGTGAGTAAGATTCAAACAGTATTGGTGTATTTCGAATTTGGAATGCAGAACTTTAGAGCTGTCGGCCTAATCATTGAATGATTGGAATATAATCATTTTGTAGTTTGTAGCGTTTGTGTTGGATTTATTTACACTAATCTATACCGAGTAACTGACTGGAAACTTAAAGAGATGTGATGGTTGCCACAAGTATCATATAACTAGCCGATATTTCTTTTTAAATCTTTATTTTTTAAGAAGGGGTTATTGCTAAGGGGTAAACGAAATTTTGTATTTTATAATAGGGCATTATAAAATACAAAATTTATAATTACGTTAAAAAATCAATTATATTTTACAGAAACATCTAATATTAATGTCAAATATAGATCTTAATCTTGAATTATGAATAATAATTTAACACGATTGTTTGAGTGTATGATGTTGATGATACTTTGTTGACTACAACTTGAATTTATTCGTTTTTAACGTATATGCACCAAAAATAGGAATTTGTTAAGAACAGGAATGTTAACGCAACACGTACAGTTTTGTCATCATTATGAAAATTAAATTCTAATGCTTGATAGAATGGTAACAATAAAGCACGAACTATGAAGTCATTGGCCACGAAGCGTGTGTGAGTAAGCGCTTTCTGGTCACTGGGTATTGGGACTCAAGATAACAGGTTTTGTCATGCCCACTCGTCTTTAATTTATTACTTCAAATATGAAAAATCATTGGATTTGACATTAGTTTCGAATATGTGATTGATTCGATGTTGAAGTTATGCGCAGTCCTGTAGTTATGATCATTAATGGGATGTTATTTTAAATTACCTTACTTAAGATGCTCCATTGAGCATCCTTCTATTTTTAACGACACTGGGAAACTTCGAATTTCCCAGAAAAGTTGTGAAGATGTTTAGTTGCTGGGGAAACCGGGAAAAGGATTAAGCAACATGGGATTCTTACTCCAGTGCCAGTCTGCCAGTCAGTGTTATAATTTCCAGCAGAAAACTAGATCTTTTGATACATCACGTAAAAAGCCTAAGCAGAATGCAATGAACGTCAATGGTAGATCCAACTGTTTAGTGGAAGTATCAACATAACCTGTTTGGAAACAAAACCAAATAAAATGATTCATTGATTCGAATGTCAATGCTGTTGCTAGAAACAGACGCAGATGTAATAACAACTGTAAATCATTAGATTTGTGACTATACTCCGCTTGTTTATTAGGTAACTCTGGTTAACGATAGTACCTAGTTACAGACCGATTCAATTCGTTCACTGAACTAAAATTGGCATTTTAGTGCCTTTAAATAGGGCAGTATATTTATCACTTGTGTGCATACCGCGAAACGATGCTATTCAATGATGTAATAGTAATTAGCTGTCGACGGTCGACGGTAGCTGCTAATTTGTACGCTGCTGCTGCTCTAGGTACGCCATTATTTTCTATAACCTAGGTAAAATTTAAATTTGTCGCTGCATGTAATCGCAAAAGCAATATTCTGGCAAATTTGTCGGCAGTGCAACGTGATAGATATTTGATAGCATGTCGCCTCCCCAGTAAACTGTGTAAAACTCGATCAGTGACAGTTAGTAGAGTGGTGTGTTGAGCTCAGTTTATTGCTTCGCTGGCTGGCTGCATCCGGCTCGTAAAATTTTAAATGTTTGCCTTTGGTTCCACTACAGACCTATATTAGACCTTACTTGCGTTTTGTTACACTTTTGATGGCCATTTAAGTACCATCCCGCTGGTTTGATTCCTCAGCTGTGTTTATACTTAAACTGAATTAATTTAAACTTTGGTTTTATAATTTATAAAGACAACAACAATTCCGAAGTAAATGTTGGAGTAATTCTGATTACATAATTAATTAATAAAACTTGTGTAACTCTTAACTTGGTAATTTCAACAACTTAATATTTAGGGTACATAATTTTATTGCCGTACCAAATAAAGTGGGTACAATAAATTACAGATTTTATGTTCGGTTTGAACATACACTTAACACCAAAGTATTGACAAATAAAACTATGACGAATTCGTTATTTTTGCTTCTGTTGATAAATAAAGTGCTTACAGAGGTCCTAATGCTAAAAGGATTGTGAATAAAGAAGCATTAAGCTAATCGTGTTAACAAACGCAAAATAAATTGAAATAAGACCGCACATAAAGCACAAAGAGTACAAAATTGTTAAATATTTACGTTTGACATACAAGCACAGGATGACCTCCAGTACTCGATTGCCTTGAGACTTAACATTTTGTTTAACACAATTGCATGGTTTTGTATAAATTGTAGCTATACCCTTTAATGTCTTCCAGTCCATTTCCTGACTGCGTACACCTACAACGAGTCACGAAATGTAAAGAAGAATGTCTACTTCAATAGTGGATTACTAAATTCTCAATAACAGCAAGCATTTCTTATTATAAAAAGCTACTAAGGTGAAGAAATAATAAATTGAGAATGTAAAATAGTACTTACTGAAGTACTTGGTCACTACTATTCCTTTGGGTAGAATAAATGTAAAATCCAAACTCGGAACAATGAAGATCATAGCCTGAACTTCATTATTTTGTGGTCGTAAACCACATAAAGGTTCTATTTCAATATCCCTTTATGATCTGAATTCTGAACCATTAAAGGTAGTCTTGTGGTGTGGCTTATAATATCTAGGTACGTGAGTTATGAAAAGTGTTCAGAATACTAACGCCTTTCTCGCCCAAGAAAATGCACTACTCGCGCGATTCGTTCACGTAGAAATTTCTTTGTGCAAAGAATAAACCGAAGAAGGATTTGGCTTTCAAAGATTACACTTTTAGTCGTCAAAGGAAACTCACGTCGCGCAAATGTGGTGTAAATATCTGTTAGGTACGATGTGAAGTGTGTTGGTTACTTAGGCACTGACATTTTGGTCCCAAAACAACTTTTTATATTAACTTTGTTCTTTGTGTTTTCGGGTATATCCGTAGCAGAGATTTCAGACTATTCCCTTATTCGAAGGCGCCTGATTGTATTATTGTTGTCATTGGAGACAACACTTTAAATTGGAAGCCACTAACCTAATTTTGAACTCGACTATTGTCCAATTGAAAGTGCATCATAAAAAGTTAAGTAATGGTGAGTGTACTCTATGTATTTACTACTTTCTAGCAGTAAAATGGTTAGTTTATTGCCCAATTGCCTCTGAAAGAGGGTACGCTTTTGTGACCAAACAAGCAGAGCACTCAAGTCACCACCATTTAAAAGTTTTAGTAAACCACGTCAATCCCCGGATTAGTCGAGAACTTTCTCTTGTGTTTTCTTCCTAGTTTAACAAATACGGTATACGCGTACCAAATTGCTATATTAAGCTGAAATCTATATTAAAATATTCATTCTGTACACGAAGTTTATGGCTGATCTTGGCAAACTTGCAAGAAGCTGCCGCAACAGTTTAGGAAGTTTCTTGTATGGATATATGAACAGTTGGTTGGGGGCTGCAGGGTAACATACATATTTCAGGTGCTTTGCTCTTAGAATGATTTATGACCTTAAGCAACTTGGCTATTGTGTCATAATTACTCCAGAATGATTTGCCATTTAGATACAAACTGATAGAACACATAAAAGTGTAAGTAAATTTTTATGAGTTGTGTAATTATAGGTACCATTTGCAATGTCACTGATACTCGGCCCTTAAATTTCCTTTAAGCTATTCCAGGAAATCTTGAT